TGCCCCCCACCACACACACACCCTGACCACACCAACACACCACTCCACCACACCCTTCCGAGGCAACGTCTCTACTCACTGTTCTCCGAAGAGATTCCCGGGTATCACCCTTCATACTCCCCACCCCCCCCCCCCAACACCCCCCCCACCCTCTCTCTCGCGCTGCACTCAGCTTGCCGCTCACCTCTCCCAGTTCGCCGCACACCACAACCTGCTCGCCGCTCGCTACTCGCTACTCGCCACGCACCACTTACTCTCCTGCTGTCGCTGCCGTCATCTTGATTGCGTCGGCTCTGTCTGGGACAACGGTACTCACGTCAAGGTCTAGATCGCATCCACAGACGCCGCCTGAACTCGATCGTCGCAATCGATGGTGCGACACGCCAAGGACATGTTTGTGGCGGTTGCTCACGGTGACAAGGACAAGGTGCTGGCGCTGGTGAGCAAGTACGGCAAGGAGCTACTTGATGTCCATGAGCCGACAAAGGGCACAGTCCCGCTACACTTTGCTGTCATCGCAGGAAAGCTATCAATGGCCAAGCTGCTCATCAAGCTCGGCTGCGACATCAACGCCACGGTACGCCCTCTCTTGCACCCCCCCCCCCCCCCCCTCTCCTCTCCTTCTCCTTCTGCTCCCCCTCTACACTCACACTCACCCATTTCCTCCCCCGCTGAATATGCAAAGTCCTCAACTGGCGACTCTGCGCTGCATCTGGCAGTGATGAAGGACAAGGAGAAGATTGCCAAGCTGCTGATTGTCAAGGGCATTGACGTGCACTTGGAGAACAGCGCGGGCAAGACCGCGTTTCAACTGCTGAAGCTCAAGCGAAAGGCGGCGGCCAAGAAAAAGGGCGCACCTACGAATCGCGAGCGCAAGGCCAAGCTGGGCGGCGGCGAGGTCGACATCGGAAGCGGGAGCGCCAGCGGCGACGGCGACAATGCGATTGGCAAGGCGGGCCGAGCCGGCGGCAATTCACTCGACGACGAGAGCTCAGACTCTGACTCGGGCGACGGCGAGGACGACGAGTTTGCGGCGGCGCTCAGGGAGCGGTTTCTTTCCCAGTCACGGACAGGCCGGCGGATGTCTGTGCGCCGGCAGGGAAGCGACGACTTGCATGTCCGCGGGACGACGGCGATGGCGACCGACGACGACGAGGCCGAGGTGGCGCCTGGTCCCTACGAGGCGCCATACCCGGTTGTGTCGTCCGACGACCAGCCGACGCCGTCGATCAAGCGGCTCCGGGCCAAGCTGGCTGGACGAGTCCGACAGTTTGCCGAGTCGTCACAGCCGCGGGTGTCAGACGCACCCAAGGTCATCCTCAGCATCCTCCTTCCGTCGGGGAGCCGGAAGAAGATTGCGGTCCCGTGCGACTACACCGGGCAGGAGCTGATGGATGTGTTTGCCAGCAAGATCAACCTCGCGGTCAACGACATGTTTGAGCTTGTGGTCCTCAACACCAAGACCGGACGGATCCAGGACTTTATCGACGCAGACCGGACCATCGAAGACCACGAGCTCAAGCCGTCGGACCTCATCTCGTTCCGTACCAAGTTCTTCAAGATGCCGGCCACGCCGGATCCGGTCATCCTCAACCTGCTGTATCTGCAGACGCGCAACGACGTGACGTCGGGCCAGCTGGCGGTCTCGGAGCCGCTGGCAGTGAATCTCGCAGCGCTCACGCTGCAGATCACGCACGGCAAGTTTGACCCCAAGGTCCACAACCTGGGCTTTCTGGACGAGTCTGCGCTCGACGACCTCCTCCCGCGGCACCTTGTCTCACGGTACGCGCTCTCACTGTGGCAGGACCGGATGTTTGTGGCCTGGGCGCGCAACGACCAGGAACTGACCGGCGACGAGTTGGTGCAGCAGTACCTGGCGCGGGCGCGCGAGGCGCCCGCCTTTGGCGGCACCCACTTTGACGCCCGTGGACCGGGCTCGGTCCCGGCTTCGATTGCGGTGGTGGAGGACGGCGTTCTCATCCGGCACAAGGGCGAGCCGTACACCTTTTTCTCGCTCTTTCGGCGGACGCCGGGCTCGGACGAGAACGAACTCAAGTCGTGGCGATGGGATGCCGAGCAAGTTCTGTTCGACGTGGTAGAGCCGGCCAGCGGCGAGGGTGCGTCGCTGCTCTCGTACGCGGTGGTGGGCGGTGCTGACGCCGCACGGGAGCTGGTCGAGCTTATCTCGGGCTACTACATCCTGCTGGTCTTTGGCGACGCGGTGCCAACGCGTCCGATGCTGATGCTCGACGACCTGCCTGTTCCTTCCGAGCCGTTGCCGATGCGGACGGTGATGCAGCTGCCGCAGCCGCGGGCGCTCGACTACGCCGCGCCGTCGCGGCTTGCCCTCCTCCTTGAAACGTATGTCGAGGAGTGCGCCAAGGCCGGTACGGCACCACTGGCGTCGGTGCTGGCGCCGATCCACGCCGCGCTCGATGCTGGCACCCCGCTGACGCTGCTCAACATGGGCGCGCCGCAAGCCGACTCGAGCCTCCATGCCACGGCGCAGATTGCGGCGACCGAGGCGGCCCGTAAGGCCGAGCTGGGTCTGGTGGCAAGGGGCGGAGGAGCAGGGCCGTCTGGCGGCAAGGCCGGAGGCAAGGACTCTGAGGCTTGTGCGTTCTGGGCGCCGAACCAGGTCCTCGCACTGGCGACGGCGCTGCGCAAGACGCGCAAGGTAGAGGGCCTGCCTGTAGACGACGTTATGGTGAGCACGGTCTCGTTTGCACAATCGCGGTTTGGCGAGTCCAAGGCGTGTCTTGGAGCGGTCGAGCGTGTGCTCTCTGAGGTTGGCGACGCGTTCCGGGTGGAGAAGATGGACCTAAGCGAGTGTGCGCTCACGACGGAGAAGCAGTGGATTGTGGTGTGCGCGGCGCTGCGGCACACCGCGCCGCTGACCGAGCTTGTGGTGAGCGGCAACGCCATGCCGGCCAAGTCGATGCTGGAACTTGTGCGGACGTTCAAGGCCGGCGTGCATGCGAACCAGGTGTTTGCGGCAGCGGCGTGCTCGCTCGGCGACGAACACGTGGTGCACCTCGGTAAGCGGCTGTACAACAATGCGTCAACGCTGACGGCGCTCGACCTCTCGGGCAACAAGATTACGGACTTTGGGCTGGAGAAGGGCATTCTTGTCAACATGGGCCGCAACACTGGCCTGAGGTCGCTGGCGTTCTCGCGGAACAATGTGACGTCCAAGGGCGTCCGGGCGCTGCTCGCGCTAGTGGAGGAGAAGCGGACGCTGACATCGATCCTCCTCTCCAACTGCCACATCTCAGCCAAGGAGTGCGGCGTGTTCTCGGCACGACTGAGCATCAACTCGGTGCAGGTACTCGCGCTTGCCGGCAACTCGCTGGGCAAGGGCGTGGCGACGTTTGCGCCACACCTGACCAAGGCATCGGGCCTGACCGAGCTCGACCTCTCAGACGTGTCGCTGGAGAAGCACGGGATTGCAGCGCTGGTGGAGACGCTGCCAACCGTCCGCAATCTGCGGACGCTCTCGCTGGCCGACAACGGCATCTCGACCAAGGACGGGGTGCCGCTGGTGGGAGCCATCGGGGCGTCACGCTCGCTGGTCACCGTCGACCTCTCCGGAAACTCGTTCAAGAAGGACTTTGCCGAGGCGCTCGGGAGTGCGCTTGCGGCGTCGACCTCGCTCCGCTCGCTCAGCTTGGCGAGCAACAAGCTGGGCGGTGAAGGCGCTGCGGCGATTGGACGGGCACTGGCGGCTAACGGGCTTGCGCTCACCGACCTCTCGCTTGCAGGCAACAAGATCGGATCTGGCGTCGACGCCCTCGCCGAGGGCCTGACCTCCAACTCGACGCTTATCTCGCTCTCGCTCGCCAACAACTCTATATCGGGCGACCACTTTATGGAGGTGGTCACGGCGCTCGAAGCTAATACCGGCCTGCGGCATGTCGACATGACCGGCAACCAGCGGTTCACGCCTGCCCAGATCGACACCATCATCGAGCCGCGCGACATCTCGTGCGAGATCTACGTTTCATTTGCGAGCTAGCGTTAACGGTACGGTCGGTCGTTCGGGCGCGTTGTCGCGCGCCTCAAAGTGAACAACACATCACAGTACATGAGCAAGGCCTTCCACCCCCCCGCTGGCCTCGTATGGCCGCGTGCCCGTGATGCCACCTGCAGCATGCAAGAGTTGCCGTCGCGGTGACGGGCCGAGAGGAGGATGGGCAAGGCGCGTGAGGCGTCGTGCGGCACCGATCGAGGGGAGCGGCGCGCGAAGCTGGCGGAGCTTGTCGTTGACAACGGCAAACGCCACCGGATACTATGTCAAGACTGCGTCGACGCCGCTCGCGCCAAAGCCTTTGTTTCATTTGCAACGCCAATCCCCACGTCACAATGTCGCGAGGGATACCTTAGGGTTTGGCGCTGATGTCGTGTGCTGGAACGCGTGGACAGACTACGAAAGGCGCGCAGGTGGACAAAGCCGCTACGACGACGCAGAGCTCGATGTCGAGCAGGTGTTGGCCGAGACGGCGGTGGTGAGAGCTGACGAGGACGACGACGACGACGACGGCGACGATGCGGTGGGGAGGAGTGTCGAGCCGGCCATGAGCCACGAGCGGACGCGGCCGACGAGTGCACCGGTGATGAGCAGCTGTAGCGGGTGGTAGAGGAGGAGCGGGATGGAGACAGGACCAGACTCGTCGTCGTCGTACATGAGCTGGATGAGGGTGATGCCGACAGCGACGGTCTTGTGGGCGGCGCCGGCGATGGCGGCGGCGGTGTCGGCGCGAGTGAAGCCAAGGAAAGGCAACTGTGAGGAGAGGAAGACAAGGAGCTGAAGGATGAGGTGCGAGGCGACGAGGATGATGACCAAGCCAAAGAGAGCGCGCCACGAGAGGTCAACGCCCTTGTCAAAGGTCTTGGCAAAGGTGAAGAAAATGATGATGAGGAGGACAACCTTGGAGATCTTGGCGTAGGGGATGGAGGCGCGAGCAAGTCGCTCGCGGAAGGCGTACTGCAAAAACTGGCCGATGACAATGGGGATGAGGATGGAGATGACGAGGTCGAGGAGCAGCTTGCTCGCCGAGACCGAGCCCGAGTTGCCAAGCAGGACAACAAGGAGAAGCGGCGAGAGAATGACGCCGACAAGGTTTGTAAAGGTGGCGTTGAAGAGCGAGGCTGCATCGTTGCCGCCCATGGCCTTGGCAAGGACAATCTGGGAAGAGATGGTGGAGGGGAGGACGCCCATGACGACAAGGCCATCCAGCAGATCCTCGTTGGAGAACCAGTCGGAGAGATCCAGGAGATAGCGGAGAGCAAACCAGGCGATGGGTGAGAAGACAAAGACCCAAACGAAAAAGTACAGGTTGTATTTCCAGTACAGAGCTGATTTGCCCAACTCTCGGGTCTTGAGCGAGAGGCCGGAGAGAAGAAAGATGAGGCCAACAGCGATGTACTTGACCGAGTACTGCGGATACAACGGAGCTTGATTCCGTCCAGCCTCAGGATAAATCGCCGCCAGGATGACGGCCAGCAGCATGCCAGACAAAAACCACTGTTTCATCAGCACCCGCTTGACCACTCGAAAGCTGTTGCCCGACACGGCCAAGTCCGCCTCGACTGCCGCCAGACTCGCCCGCAGCGCCGTAAGCTCTGCCACCAGCTGCTCCGACTGAGGCGTGGGCTTGTCATGGAATGACGGTTCCGAGTATCTTCCAGTCGACATGGAGGATGGGAATGGGCCGTGGGGGCTGGGGGGTGAGGTGGGGGAGAGCTTGGTTGTGGCCGTGGCCACAGCCGTGGCGGAGAGTGGCGGCCGAAGTGGTGGAGGGATCGGAGGCGGCGGCATGGAGGGGGGGGGG